AACATAGTTAGAAAGAAAAATTTTCTTTTTTTATTAGAAGAACGAATCTTCAAACACGGATAAATCTCAATTCTGAAAAATAAGCCAAAAAAGAAGGAAGCAGTTGATTTGTGATGCCACCGTTCGATCGTTTATTTTATTTTTATTTGCCACAATGAATGCATATAAAAATTGAAAATTCTACTGTTGTTTATTCAATTAAAAGAATAAATCTTTTCAAATCTTGTTTTATCTACAAAACAGTGACAATAAATTTGTAATTATTCTAGTAGTTGAAATTTAAAAATCAGTTATTAAAATCAATTTTAAAAAAGTAATAAAAATATTGTAATACAATATGAATCATTTTATACAGAGTATTAATATATTCAAGGAAGGATGAATTATATATCAAAACAAATTATAGGTAAAAACAAATACAAAAGTTAGTACTTAAAAATATCAGCTTATTTATTGAATTAAAAACAATTTAAATTAACATGAGATGAAATAAAATGAAAATAGAATGAGACAATTCTTTCCTTCTTACATCTTATTTTGATTATCTTGATATCTTATTTACACGAAAACACAAATTTAAATTTAATAAATAAATTTTATTCACTGATATACAAAATATATAGTGCAAAAGTCCCGATCAAGTGGTTTCTTTAAATTTTTTCTCAAAGGAAAAGAAAATTTAAGAAAATTTTATTAATAAAATAAAAGCATATTGCCTAAAAGGATATTATAAAAGAAATTAACACTATTTATTGTTCATTTATTTGAAAAATATGTAAATTATTATTAGAATTATATATTCAAAAGTTTTTGGTCAGTTCTTGTTATAAATTAATAAAAAATCAGTAAATGTTTACATTCAAATATTATGTAGTATTATTATTTCAATTGGTATTATTCAATTATTCGCTAAATTGCAAATATGAATTTAAAAGATATCTGTTGAAGTACAAAATTATTAAAATTGTCTTTAAAGAAAAAGTCATCTCGTAAAATTGCTTCAATATTATCAATTGGAAAATGTATAATAAATGATACAATTAATAAATATCGCGCAAAATATAGTGTAAAAGATCGCCCGTGAAATAAAGATTCTAAAAGACCATTCTAAAAAAATTGATAAAATTATAAAACAAAAATCATTTATGGACACAAAAAAAATAGCTATTATTATATCGCAGCTGAATTACAAATAGAAAACATTGATAATATTAATAATAGTATAGTGACAAGAAGATTACACGATGCAAAATTATTTAGCAGAGTTAATGTTAAAAAACCATTAATTAATAAAAAAAATAAAATAATTTGATTGATTTGCCCAAAAATATTATGACTAGACTGACTAGATTAGAAAAATGGAAAACGATACTTTTTCAAATTGAATCCAATTCAATTTTTTTGGAACCAATAGAAAACATTACATACATTATACGTCCAGTTGGCATATGAAATAATACTAAATATTAAACATCAATATATTAAAATGGAGGAAGTATTATGGTTTGGAAAGCTTTCTCTATTTAATTAATTGGTTCTTTTATAAAAATTAAGGATATTATGAATGATATCATGTATAAAGAAATTTTAGAAATTCATGTTACCATATAATTTTCTGGAAAAAAAATGATACTTTCAATAAGACAATGTAAAAATAAAATAAACATATATTAAAAATATTAAAAGAAAAAGAAAATTGTACAATAAAATTGTAAAAAAATGATTGTCTGAAATACAAAATTGATCTTCTTAATTTGCGGGTTTAAATTCAATAAAACATCTTTGAGGTTGAATGAAAAATGAATGAAATAAAAATTCTAATAATACAAAATTTTTTTAAATTTAATAAAAGAATGGAAAATATTACACGACTATATATACTTAATTAATTGAATCCATACCTCATTGCTATGTTGTTATAATTACCGCAAAAGACATGACTACAAAATATTAATTATAATATGTAAATAGTATATCGTAAAATTGTTACATAAAAATAAGTACTATTTATTTGCTTAAATATAATGTTCAAGAACACGCTAATGTATATATTCTTCAAACAATATTCTTCTGTGAATAATAATAAATAGCGTTGATTTATTTTACAATATTCTTTTACACAATATATATACTTTTATATTAATATTAATAAAATATTAATAATATAATAAAAATTCTTATGGCTTTTCTTTTGGAAAAAAAATTGAAGAAATTATCTAACTGAAAACTTTTGCATATCACTGTACATATAGATTCATATCAACCAATTTTTATGTTTATTTTGATCTATACAATCGATCATCCTAAAATTTTTCATGAATATATTAAAACTATAAGATGATCACTTAAAATTGTGTTTAGAAATTTTAAAAAGTTGTAAGTTTTATAAATATTTTTATAAAAATTTTTAATTACATTAAAAAAAATGTTCACGTAAAATATGAATAATTCTAAAAACACAATTTTTTTTGCAAATAGACATAGATATATTTTAATAGAATTTGTCATTCCACAAAAATATACAAATTTAAAAAAAGTACGAAAAATAAACAATTTGTTTATTACATACAATAAATTTTATAGTATTCAATTTAAAATATTTGCTAAAATAATGTTTTTTTGATATAAATAACTTAATATTTATTTTTCTTTTTCATAAAAAATGACAAGTTGAGTTAATTCGTAAAAAAAATGTGATTTAATTGAAAAAAAAAACAAATATAACATATGTTCTCTATATTCATTCATATATTATCATAAATATATTCTTCAAACAACTTTTATTTGAAACTTTTTTTTATATAATTAACTAATTCGATTTAGTCTTAAATGATTCATTCATTTTATGATTTTGAATCATGATCGTAATTTTGTATATACAATTAAAAAATATATTACTTGGCAAATATAATAACAATAATTTAAAAAAAAATATAAGTAAAGATAGTTTTAATATTAGTTATACGATCAAATGTGTAAATAATAAAATAATTTATATATATATATGTATATTATAAACATTTTTTAGTTGTCTATAAAAAGTTATTTGTTAATTATTATATATTGTTATTAATTTCATGTTTTTTTTTGAAAATTGTATAATTTTGCATAATAATCTAATCTAATTGTATAATAATCTAAAAAAAAAAATTATTCAAGACTTATTCTATGTGAATCAAAATTGTTGTGCTGTAATATATTGCATACTTTATTGTAATTCACTGTACCAAGAATGAGTAACATTCTAGATATTATATATATAGGTATAACATTCTGTAGAATGATCTATATATCTCTCGTTTAACAAAGCTTTTTTTAAAAATAAGATACGAATTTGTAAACAATGTATATATTTATGCATATAGAATATCAATATTTGTTCCATATAATATGTAAAATAACTAATATTCATTGATCAAATGTTTCTAATATCAAATATCAAAATCAACTACTTGAATTCAAAATTGTCTTATATATTATTATTGTATAATGCAATAATTGCACTTAACAATGTTACATACATTAATATACATCAATTAATATACATAAAATAATTTAATTTTAATTTTTATCTTAAAATAATTATTAACAGTCTTCAAAAAATAAAATATTTTAAATGATGAGTATTTTTTCAAAAAAATAAAAAAATAAATTCTCTATTGTAATATATTAACCAACATTTGAAATTTAAAAATAAGCAAATTAATTTAAAAATAAGCGATTTAGTTTAATTAAATAAAAGTTAAATTAAATATAAATATTCTTTTTAGTAACAAATTTCAAGATTAATAAATATAGAAGCGCCATAAGAAAAATATTTCGCTTACATAAATCTCATAAGCTTGAAAGCCGCGGGTGCTGGATTACTTCTATCATGACACGTTGCCGGTAATCTCTCCAACGGTGTTGGTGTAATGTAAACGACACGGCGTCCTTCCTCGGCCCAATAAATTGCTGTCTATAAAACAAAATAAGATTTCGGAAATTTTATATATATAATATATATATAATTTTTCTATCAAAATTAATGCTAGCCATTAATTTTAATATAATAACATTCTTATCAAAATATTTATAATATTTAAAAAATTAAAAAACAAATTATAATGTCATTGTATCTTGATATATTGATAATAACATATTAATATTAATACTTTTTTATAAATTATCTAATATTTATTTATAACTTACTAATTTTTAATCAAATCAAATTGTTATATTTGATAATTCATTATTTTTAATCTTTTTAAATTTTATGATTAATATAAAAAAAAATTAATTATTAAATTCTTTAAATATTCTATTTAAAGTTAATCAATATTTTATATTTAAAAAATAAAAAAATTTATTATATATGTATGCAATGCTAATTCCATTATTTATTTCAAATTGTTAAATTTTAAATTTTAATTATTTCTTATAAAAAATTATAATTTTTACATTTTTTGTTTCATATTTTCATTTACCTCAAACATAAAAGATTTATTTAATTCTTGAGGTCCACAAAGTAATGTTGATTTCACATTACTTTTTGATGAGAACATATTTTTATATCATTTCCAAATATATGTAGGTTATACATATAATTATCACAATGAAATATATAATTTTTTTAATAATTATGTTTGTTTCAGACAAAAAAATTTTTGTAACCAATATATTAATATTGAAAACTTAAAAATATTTTTATAAGTTATTATAGTTTAAATTTTTTCATATGTTTTTCATAAACACTATACATGAAAAATTTAAACGAAATATTCGCCGCAAATTACCAACAATGTCATTTTTCTATTTTATTCTATTACAGTGACATCTCGTTTATGTGCTATGTACTAATAATCACACTTTTTTTATATACAATATAGGTTATGTTAAAATGTACATTTAACAAGACAAACGATGGAACAAAATCTTATCTATAGTTATGCAAACATAAACAATTAAGAATTGTGTTTAAAGATTGATTTTCATTATATATTAAATAAATATATGAATCTTGTAAAAAAGTATGGAAAAAATTAATATAACTTTAATTAAACTTTATATTTTATGACTTTTTCTATTAAAGTATAAAATTTATTAACAAAAAAAATGACTAGTGAAATTCAAATCACAAGCATCGTAAATGATATTTTAGTAAGTATATATTTTTATATTAATATTTTGATCTGTTTTATTTTCGTTTGTATTTTATTTGTATTGTATTTGTATTATATTTTATCTATAATTATTATTTTATACTTAATTTTAATCTTATCTTCTAAAAATTGTTGAAATTAAAATCAAAGCTTTTATATATAGACTTATGTATGTAATTAATATATATAATTATTGAAATATGAATGATTCCATATTAAAAAAATTATAATTATAATTATGGTTTATTAAAATTATGATAATAGATTAACAAAAATAACAATTATTATTTATTTGATTTCATCAAATATATTATTATTAATGGTTATTAATGGTAAATAACAATAAATAATCATTATTGTTATAATATTTTATTTTTATCATTTTGTAAAATTATTATAGAAAGTAGAAGCTATAGAAGAAGCTTTTAGTTGTGTTTTGGTGCATCATCCAAATAGTGAAAATGAAAAAATAACAGCATGGCAAACAGAATTATCATCTACTATGTCAAATTTGTCCAAAGAACAACAAGAAAATGCAGTAAGACAATTTTTAACCATGGCAGCAGCAATGACTAATCATAAAAGATTACAATTATTATTGTCATTACTTGAAAACTTAGTTACATCAAATGTCTTAGCAGCAAGGTATATTTAAATTTGAAAATAAAATTCATTTATAAAATTTTATGAATGATATTAATTATGTATAATTTTAGACTTGTATGTGAATGTATATTAAATTGTGATAAACTTCAATATCAATTAGAAGATTTTTGGATTGAATGTTTTGTTCTTATTCGACATATTATTGGAGGAGTTGATTATAAAGGTGTCAGAGAAATAATGAAGGCAAGTATTAGCAAATTTTGTGTAAATTTGAAATTAATTGCAATTTATTATTTTAAAGGGATGCAAAGAAAAAGCACAAACAATTCCAGCAAGATTAGATGCATCTATTCAACCTCAATTAAAAGCTTTAGAAAATGTACTTGAATATATTTTTGATAGAAATGCTTGTTATTACCAGGCTATTTTATTGTAACTGAAATTCAAAAGGCTTATCCTGATGGTAAAAATTGGCCACATTGGGTATGTTATTTTACAAATGAAAATTATATTTTACTATCTAATAAAATTTTATGTAAATTTCTTATAGAAATTAGCAAAATTGCTTTCAAATTTTGTCGAAAGTTTTCGTAATACTGCGCAAATGGTATCTATAGTTGGACATTCAAAAATGTTACCAGTAGTGGAACATACTGGATATGCAGATTTGATTAATCCTTGGGTACTTGATACTACAACATTAAAATTTTCATTAAAAGGAAATTTGCCTTATGATGAAGATTTACTTAAACCTCAAACAGGATTGCTTAGATATGTGTTAGAACAACCATATAGCAGGGATATGGTGTGTTCAATGCTTGGCTTACAAAAACAGGTATATTTTGTATTTATAATAACAGAAGAGTGACAATGATAATTTAGATAATAATTTTATATTGTTACTATTTTAGCAAAAACAGCGTTGTATAGCTTTAGAAGAACAATTAGTTGAACTTGTTATTCTTGCTATGGAACGTGCAGAAAATGAAACGTTACCAGCAGAAGGAACTGATGGAACTGTTGCAAATCATTATGTATGGTTGCATCTTTCATCACAACTTATATATTTTGTACTTTTTTCATATGCCTGTTTTCCGAGTATCGTAATGGCAATACACGATAAATTAGCAGGAAGAGATTTAAGAAAGGGAAGAGATCATTTAATGTGGGTTCTGTTGCAATTCATTTCTGGAAGTATTCAAAGAAACCCTTTATCAAATTTTTTGCCAGTATTAAAACTGTACGATCTTCTTTATCCAGAAAAAGAACCTTTACCAGTTCCGGATTATACTCAGGCATTATGCACTCATCAAATGGCTATTACATGTATATGGATACATTTATTAAAGAAAGCTCAATCTGAACATTCAAACATTCATAGACCAATACCACATACTTTAAAACTTCATCATGAATTTTTGCAACATTTAGTTATGCCTAATACATCTTTATGTATGGGTTCAGATTATCGCATTGCTTTGTTATGTAATGCATATTCTACAAACCAAGATTATTTTGGCAGGCCAATGGCTGCTTTAGTGGATACTATACTTGGTACTCAAAAAGGTCAACAACAGCAGCCAATGCAAACATTACAAAATAATGCAGCTCTTGCAAGTGGACCAACCACACCATTATCAATGTCAATATTGGATTCGTTAACTGTTCATTCAAAAATGAGTCTAATACACAGTATTGTTACTCATGTTATAAAATCAGCACAATCTAAAAGCAATATGGCATTAGCACCAGCACTAGTTGAAACTTACAGTAGATTACTTGTATATACTGAAATTGAAAGTCTGGGCATCAAAGGTTTCATCAGTCAATTACTTCCAACAGTTTTCAAATCTCATGCATGGGGAACATTGTATACATTATTAGAAATGTTTAGTTACAGAATGCATCATATACAACCACATTACAGAGTACAACTTTTATCTCATTTACATAGTCTTGCAGCTGTGCCACAGACAAATCAAACACAACTTCATTTATGTGTGGAAAGTACTGCTCTTCGTTTAATTACTGGATTAGGATCTGCTGAAGTGCAACCACAATTATCTCGATTTTTATCAGAACCTAAAACTCTTGTATCAGCAGAATCTGAGGAATTAAACAGAGCTTTGGTATTAACACTAGCACGCTCTATGCATGTTACAGGAACAGGATCAGATAGTCATAGTGGTACATGGTGTAAAGAATTATTAAACACAATCATGCTAAATACCCCACATTCATGGGCTAATCACACTCTTCAATGTTTCCCTCCAGTATTAAGTGAATTCTTCCAACAAAACAGTGTACCAAAAGAAAACAAGCAACAAATTAAGAAAGCAGTAGAGGAAGAATATCGAAATTGGGCTTCTATGAGTAACGAAAATGACATAATAGCACACTTTTCTGTCCCAGGTACACCACCTCTATTTTTATGTCTTTTGTGGAAGATAATTTTTGAAACTGATCGAATTAGTCCAATTGCATATAAAATCTTAGAAAGAATTGGAGCTCGAGCTTTGTCGGCTCATCTTCGAAAATTCTGTGATTATCTTGTGTTTGAATTTGCTAATAGTGTAGGTGGACAACATGTGAATAAATGTGTTGATACAGTTAACGACATGATATGGAAATATAACATTGTAACTATTGATAGATTAATTCTTTGCCTAGTGTTAAGAACTCATGAAGGTAGTGATGCTCAAGTATGTTTTTTTATAATCCAATTATTATTATTGAAAGCCATTGAATTTAGAAATAGAGCTCAAGAATTTGTAAAAGAAAATTCTCCAGAACATTGGAAACAATCAAACTGGCATGAAAAACATCTTGCATTTCATAGAAAGTTTCCAGAAAAGTTTGCTCCAGAAGGTATTATGGAACAAACTAGTGGAGGACCTAGTCAATATCAGAGTTTACCTGTTTATTTTGGAAATGTATGCTTACGATTTTTACCGGTTTTTGATATCGTTGTACATAGATATTTGGAAATTCCAGCTGTATCAAAAAGTTTAGAAACACTTCTAGAACATTTGGGATGTTTATATAAATTTCATGGTATATATATATATATATATATATTTCTTATTGAGCATAATAATAGAATAGCATAATAATAGTTTTATATTAATTTTATATTTAATAAATTTGATTATATTTTATTTTTTTTTAGATCGACCTGTTACATATCTTTATAATACATTACATTATTATGAACGTAAATTAAGAGATAGACCACCTTTAAAACGACGTTTAGTATCAGCTGTTTTGGGTTCTTTGAGAGAAATTAGAGCACCAGGATGGGCACTTTCAGAAGCTTATCAAATGTATATGACTCGATCTTCTGATGATGTTGTTTCATGGATGCCTGAATTGGATTATTATATTCGTTTAGTGCGAAGAATTGTAGAAAGTAAATAATTTTTATCAATTAGTATTTTTTAAATTATAATTTTTTAAAAATAATTAATTTTTCAGCAATGTCAGGTACAGCACATTTTCCTGCTACTGATTGGAGATTTAATGAATTTCCCAATCCTGCTGCACATGCATTATATGTTACATGTGTTGAACTTATGGCTGTTCCTGTTGCACCAAATATAGTTGCCAACTCATTGTTAGATGTAGTTGCAAAAGGGTAAGATTAAAATTTTATTTTATACTTAATTTCTTTTTTAATTTTATACTTATACTATTAGGTATACAGTGATACCATCGGATGAAATTCATCTATGGATAAATTGTGTTGGTTTATTATTGGCTGCTTTACCAGAATGTTATTGGTCAGCACTTCATGATCGATTAGTAGAAACTATTAGCAGTCCAGGATTAGCTAGTTGGCAATATAATAATTTAACTCCATTTCAAATGTTTAATTTTAATAACACACATAATAGTTTATTGGAAAATAAATACAGTTATATGTTGGCTTTGGCACATTCTGTATGGCATCATGCTGGTGTTGGACAAATAACTACTATGCCTCAGTAAGTTTAAATTAGAATATAATAGATTCTCAAATTTTGAATGCAATTTATTCCAAAAGTTGATGCAATATTTTAGTTATTTTAATTATTTCTTCATATGAAATAATATAAATTAAACTAATTTGTTTCATATCTCTAAAATTTACAAATATATAATATTTTAAATATCTATTTCAAAAGATATTAACAAAATAAAAATAATTGAATCTTTTTATTTATAATAATACATATAAAAATATTTTACAATCAATTAAATAATTATTTTTATCTATAATTCATCACTTGAGAATTATAATTAACATTTTAGCACTATATAATTTTTTTTTGGAGAAATATTTACCCAATATTATTTGTTTTTATCTATTTTTTAAAAATTTTTCTAAAATATTTCATTATATTCTCGTTATTCAACTTTCGAATTTTTCTGCAAATTTCAAAACTGAATTTTTTTTTAATTTTTTATTTGAATTTCAAATTATTAGAAGTTTCAGAATCTATTATATATGTATATGTATATGTAGAATGTTAATATATTTTACATATTTATGATTCTTAATAAATACACAATATAAATAATTGCTGTGCAAAAATGTCAAAAAATGTCGATTGAAATTTATTTATTAAATTTATAAGCATTTTTTAAATTATAAAAAGAGTTATAAAAGTTATAAAAAGATATTATATAACATAAACATATAATACATGATATGAAGGAAAGTTTTTATATATATATCTATTTCTATTTCTTCTATATTTAATGCAAATTTTAATTGCTTATAATTTAATAAATAAATCTCAATTTTTGTATATTAGTTTTTACGTTTATTTTTATTTTAGAAATCTTCCAAAGATGTCTCATGAATATAATATATATAACCTATATATATTATATATATAATTTAATGAATATAATATAGTCTATGTGTATATATATACTATTTTAATTAATTATAATATAAAATATCATCTTATTTAGATTTATCAAAGAAAAACTTCAACCAGTTGTAAATAGTGAAGAACAATTAATATATGCTTGTCATTTAATTGGACCTACTTTAGCAAGATTTAATGCTGAAAGGCCACACTGTGTTGTAGAATTAACAGTTTGCTTATATGAAATGCTTGAACAAGTTGATCGACTTCAAAATCATTTACAGTATATGGATCCAGTTTGTGATTTATTGTATCCTTTTAAATTTTTTTCAAATTTTCAAATAATTGTTCAGTAATGTATTTATATTCTCCTTAATCTTAACTATATAGATATCATATAAAATACATGTTTGTTGGTGATATGACAAAAAATGAAGTGGAATGTGTTATACGAAGATTAAGACCAGCATTACAAATGAGATTACGATTTATTGCTCATATAAATATAGATGAAATTCAATCTTCCTGAGATATTCTTCCTAATATTATTAGTAATATAGAGCTATCTATATAAATATTGCGTTATAAGTATGTGAAATATTAATTATGAAAATCATTATTTAAATTTTATATTTGAAAATGTATTTTTTACATATCAAGACTAAATATGTTATATATTATTTAAAAAAAAACTTGATCTTCATTTCATAAGATAAAATATGCATATAAATCCAAAATAAAATATTTTAATAAAGTATGAAAGGAATTTAAGTTGCTTTGTCTAAAGAGTATATTTATAATGTTTATCACAACATATTTTTCACACATCTGACAAAGCAATATTAATATTTTAAACAGACTTATTAGCGTATATTGTCATAATAGAAGACATGAGTTATAAAGCTCAGAGTTTTATGATTATTTATAGAATAACAATTTCTATTTACAAATTAATACGATCAGATATATTTTAAGATTAACCATAATAAATTTCATTAAATGATTATTATTCTAATACTCCAAACTTGTAATTATATTCAAGACTTAAATTATTATGTATCAACATATGCACATAAGTACATGTAATGAAAGATTTAAAGTTTATCAAAATCAACATTTCCTGTTTTCAAATCTTTGACTAACTGAGCAAACTTTTCATGTGAACATTCATTTTCTTGTATAAATGGTTGTGCTTTCATTTCTTGCATCCATTTCATCTAAAATACATTCATAATTAAAAATAATAAATTCAATTTGTATTTTAATAAATAAAATTATTTTTTATAAATATTTACTATCTTTTATAAATATAAACTTACTAAATGAGAGAAATTTCCATCATTAAAATGGGTGGGTTCTTCATAAATTAAAGATAAAGACTTCCGTCGCTCAACCCATGGCCACATCAATATATCTAACATACCAGGTTGTGTTCCTAATAATATATTAAAAACAAAATCAAATATTTTCTCAATTTTTCATTATTTGTAATTAAAAATTAATATAAAACCTCCAAAATAAACTGTCCCACGAGTTTTTAATTCTTCCTCAAATTCTACTAATAGAGATGAAATTTCAGTAATAATTTCATTGATTGGTCTGCTATCATTACCATGAATACAATTTGAAAAAATACTAATAAGCTGAAAATCACAAAATTTTTATATTCAGAATAAAAAGTGAAGAAAATAAATATTATAAATATTAAATAATTATTTGAAATTATCTTTATTAGAAAATTAATATAAATATGCATTAATTGTTTTTTACCTTGGAATAATGATCTAAAAGTTCTATATCACGAACTTTTGTTTCATTATGATATAAAGAAGGCTCACCATATTTTTCGTCTAAATAATTTGCTATTACTACTGAATCAACAATTACTTTACCATTAACATCAACAAGTGCTGGTACTTTGCCCTCTGGATGAATCTAAAAAAATTATTATATATAATATATTATATATTATATAAATTTAATAATATAAGATATAAAATTAATACATACTTCTAAATACCATTTTGGTTTGTTTTTGATATTAATATTAACATTATCATGGGGAATTTTTTTATAAGAAAGTATTAATCGAATTCGATGTGTAAAAGGACAATATTTCATACCATATAAACGAACTTGTCCTTTTACTTCTGGTGGTTTTTGAGAATCTATAAGTTATATCAAATATAATTATCTTTTAAATAAAATAATTTTATAATATATATAATTTATATATAATTTTTCTTCTTATATAATAAAAATTACATTTGTAAAAAATTTCAAACTTATAATTACTTATATAAATACATATTAATAAAATAATTTCTATTTTTATTGAAAAAGTATGTGTTTAATACTAATAAGCTGAAAATTACAAAATTTTATATTATATTATAATAATATATTATAATTATATTATATTATAATAAATAATAATAATACAAGATTAGATTTTTAATTTTAATGTAAATTTATAATAATTAATTTATGAAAAAATTATTTAGAACAAAGAAATACAATAATTCATTCTATTGAAAACATTATTGTTTCATTAAAAAGAAAAATAAAATTTCTAATAATTATGTTATAATTATGAATGAACTTACCAGGTCCAAGATGTAAGTTACTCATAATAGTTAGTATGTTTTTAGTAGACTTGTGTCTAACAAGAAAATAGATAATATATTTCGAAATATTTGAAATGATAATTGTATTTTAATTAATCAGTAAAATATCAATATATGATTATTTGTAACCACGTATTGTATGTAATATATATATTAATATGTTTTTGTAAATGATGCGTGACTGAAATTCTAAAAAATTAATAAAAGCCGTAATTTCACAATTTTCACATTTTCAAAACTGATGATATCATGATATCAAAATTTGTATTACCAATAACAATTTCATAGATGGATAGTTTCTTTCTAATGTATTTTTTTTTCAAAGAAACTAGGTCACATCTGCGCATGATCAAATGTTGATTGATCGAATTGAATTTAGAAATAGCGTTATTTTATAATATTTAAATATTTTATTTTTTAATAATAAAAGAAATTATAAAAAAATTATAAAATTATAAAATATAAATAAGATAATAAATCGTTCAACAAAATATTACTTTAAAAATATTTATATCTTAGTTAAACTTGAGAATAACAGCTTTTTCAAAACTTTGTTACAAATGTTTATCATTAAAAAGATTATAGGTTTGAAATAAGATCTGTTATATTCTATTATATTTAATAATAGACTGACAAGAAAAATATATCAAATTTTATTCATATGAGAAATTGCAAATTAAAGACAGAAATCGAATAGAGTCTGCGCAGAAAGATATTCTGATGTCAAATTGATAAAGTATACAGTATAAATTAATATAGCATTAATATAGGTAAAAATATAGCAAATTTTATTCTAATAGCAACTTAAATTTTTAATGAAGCAATGTATTTTAATGTTGTTAATCTTTTTCGAAATATATGATTAACAAAATGAAAATAAAAATTAAATATCAATACAAATAATATTTTAATAATATTATTTTATTCATTTTACTCACTTGATACAATATCTATTTTTATATTATGAAATTAAATTTATTATGAATATATAGGATGTTAATATATATATTTGGCGATTTGATTTTTTTATTCTTCAAATCAAATACTAAAGATAGTATATAAAAATGTTGATAAATAAATAATTTAAATTTAGATAAAACAATTTTATCTTACTTCACCTAACGCAAACTTAAATTATTTATAATTTAAATAATTTTTAAGTTTTACACTCATGAACAATATTTTTCTTTGCGATATCGTTATAGTAATTTGCCTGCGTTTTTTTAATTGAGAAAATAAAAATGTACAGTGATATCGCGCAATAAAAAAAATCACTCATGTGTATCGTGCTTTAACTGACATTTTTATACTAATCTTTATTTATTTTGATATAAAAATCCTAAATACCATTATTTTATATTATTTATAATTTATTTATAATTTGCTAATCTTTTGCTTTATATGATGAAATGAAAAAAAAATTTTTTTTTTGATATCTAAAAAAAGATTTTATTATTAATTTTGATGGTTTTTGAATGAATTTTAAATTGTATATAAATCAATATTTTGAACAACTTTTTCTAATATATATAATCACCACTCAACTTAATTTTCGAAATATTTATAAAAAAAGATTATTACTATACATAGAATTTCGTCTATATGTGTATGTTTGTACACCTTAAATAAGTTACGTCACATGCAATTGGTATATTTATTAACTGTTCATTCGTACTTAAAATAAATGGAAAAACTATATCATTACTATATTATTACTTAGATTTATATCTAGCTCTTATAAATAGATATTAACAAGAGATAATTTTGAAATACTTAAATTTGATATTGATTGAGGTTAAAATATTTCAAGCTCGTTACAATTCATGAAATATAAGACATATATAGATGAAATTTTATTTAATAATAATGATTTTTTTTTATAAATGATAAAAAGTATATTCAATTGATTTCTTATTTTAATAAAATGAAATTATTTAAAAGAAACTAATGAAATATCAAAATTAAGAAAAACTGCTAATCTATATCAAAATAATTATCAAAAATAAAAATATTTAATTTATTTCTTTTAACAATTTTTCTTCAAAAATAAAAACAAAATATTTATTTATTTCTTTTAATAATTTCCTTCTTTAATGAAAATAGAATATAAGATTTTCAAGATTATTATGATAGAAAAACTTTTTATTAAATTAATTAAAAAAAATATATTTTTATTAAATTTTTATTATTTTGTAAACAGTAAATATTTTATTTTATTATTTAGCGTAGTTCTACTCTAAAATCTATTTGTTATTAATATATTAATTTTGTCTTATATGACAAAAGTATTTTTTTTTGTATCATGATAAAAAGAAAAGATTAAAAGAAAAAATTATGTTTTCAAGAAAATTGGAAGGCTCTTATTGTAAGTTGATTATTAGAAAATTAAAAAATTTATGCAACCTGATATTCTGAAGCATAAAAAAATTCTCTTAAAAATATAGTTAAAGAATCAAAAATAATCGTAAATAATACAAAATTTATAACAATTTAAAATTAATAAAATTTTTAAAAAATATTTGAAGTTTTAAACATTTTTTTTTTATATAAGAACTTCGATAATTATGAAAGGAAAAAAAATATAGAAATTTTAAATGTAAATACAAGCGACCAAAAAACTTTTAATAACTGTAATTGAAAGTTTTAAAATAGTTTTATTGTCATAATAAATAGTTTAGGCTTGAGTTGGGCAATTAAGAAACATATTTATGGAAAATTAAAAACTTTGAATTAAAGATTATCGATTTTTCTTTGTGTTTGAATAATATCAATCAATATTAATGACTAATATAAGTTAATTAATTATTTATTTTTATTGTTTGATAAACAAATTTTCTATGAACAATTATTGACAATTGTATTATTACATATCATATAAGAAATTGATATATTCAAAACTTTTATATTAAATAAAAAAATTGTAAATTTACGAATTGTAATGATAGTGCAATGATAAAAAAAGGATTGAGAGATATGAACATTTAGATATGAACATTTCTATAACTTACAAGTAGATCCATTTTTATTAAGCGGATATATATACGTAGCAAACTATTTAATATTATCAGAAAAAAATTCTAAATTGGTCGATTTGAGATTAAAAATTTATTCTATATTTAAATCAAATATGAAAGTGTAATTGAAAAATGTATCAAAGATAGATATTTTTTATAATGAAATGTATAAAATCTAAATATTGCTCTATTGACATTTCCTTAATATTATGACTGCTTTTTATTATAAAAATAACAATAGATGTATAATTTTTTTTTAAATAACTTTTCATAGCTATAATCTTTATATACATAATTAAAAAAAATTAAAAACTGATATCGATAAATATTTTGAAATGTTATTTTCTTATTAATATGAAAAGAATTTTCTTTAAACATTTTGTCATGATATATATGTACATATATATAATGAAAAAAATAATCGATATCGAATAATATTATAAAAATATTATATTAAAAATATTATAAAATATTATAAATTATAAAAGAAAAATCGATTTTTAATTTTAACTACATTTCTGTTTCTTTTCAAAAATCTGAAAAAAAAAATATTAATAACCATAAGATACTGTAAATGTAAAAATAATAATGTAAATATAAATGTAATTATTTGATAATTGAACCATTGTCATTTTTAAACTTCTGAATTTTTTAATATTTGATTTTATAAATAAAAATTTTGAAAAAATTCACAGAAATGTATTGCATAACATAAAATACTTCGTATTTATATCAAATTTTTTTTATAATTTCATATTCAATAAAATGTGATAAAAAGAGCATAAACTATAAATTACATTCTTTAAAAATAGACATATTTTATTTTTAGTTGAAACTTAATAGGAAAGATTTTTTTTGAGTTTGAATCTATCGATTGGTATGCAAGTTTAATTTTATTTTGGTGGTTCTATTTTTATTTATTCGGCTATACTCTTTCTGAGTTTATTGTATCTTTTAATGCTTTAAAGCAAATGATATTGAAAAGAAAGTATTAAAAAGAAATATTAAAAAAGAATATTTAAAAAAATTATTTTATAATCAAGTGGAATATTTTTGGATACACACAATAGCTCATTTTGTTTCCTGCAGGCATCCTGGATGAATCAAGTATCTAAAAGATCAAGTTTATAAAAAAAGTGATTTATTCTATTACTTATTACTTATATTATATATTATTATTATTCTATTCTTATTACTTATATTATATATTATTATTATATATTATATATTATATATTATTATATATTATTTATATTATATATTATATATTATTAAAAAAGTTTATATAAAAAAGTTTTTTAATTTTGACCAATCAAATTATAATCAGGCATTTCATTTATACTAAAGAAAAATTTACTTTTTATATTTAATTATAAATTTAAATTATAAATTATAGACAAATTAGAAATAAACTAGAATATACAAATATATAAAACCATAGATGATATATCTATGGTTTTATATATCTATGGATGATATATCTATAAATAATATAAAAACATATAATATATACATATTATAATACATATAATACATATAAAATATATGTAATAATGCATATAAAAATATATAAAATTCATATATACGTATTATATTATATTTTTAATTAGACAAAAATAAATGAAATACAACAAAGCATACAAAGATAGTCGATACAAAGTGGATATAAGGTAAATGTATTGCATATCGACGAATAGAAGGGAAAATTTAAAGACAAAAATTACAATTTATTTATTTATCTATTTATATATTTATATATATAATTAATATATTTTAATATATTATTTTAATATAATATTAATTTTTTTATAAATATCTATTATAATATTTAATCATCAATAAAATTAATAAAATACATATAATTAGATAGTAATTTTATCTATATTATAATATAAATATTGTTAAATTATCTTACTCATACAAATATATAATAACGTAAATACATACATATAATATAATATAATTTATATATTTATCTTATTACGTTACTATTATTATATATTTATATAATTATAATATATAATTATTCATATTATTTTTATTATTATTTTAAATTTCAAAATGATAAATAATGAACAGAATTTGATAGATTTGATAGAATTTTCTAATTTCTAAAAAATATAAATGAAAATAAATCTTAGTTTTTTTTTCTTCCAGATTATTTAAGAGATATATCAAAAATAGATTTATTTGTATTTTTTATTGTGTTGTTATATCACTAAAAATTATAAAGGAATTTTTAAAAGTATTTTTTAAAATCTTAATTAAAAATACCAAAAGTTACCAA